AATTGAAGCTCCCCGGCGAGCCGCGTCGCACAGTTTTGGAATCACTGAATTAAGGGATTCTTAAAAAACCCTGTTTTTCTAGATACTATTCATTTTGTTTATTTGTTATGGATGCATGTATTTGTCTCATGTGAAGCCAAAGCTTGCCTTGGACTTATGACTTTATTTTCTCGAAGGCTTCATAGTCTCGTTCTTCAATCCCAATGGATTCGTGCTGAGCTTTTATCGCTCGCGGGACAGATAGTTTTAGGACCAAGACCTATTATCGACTAAAATGTATCAGTATGCTAAACTATTGTTTGGTTGCCTTTCTTTAATGCTTGCTGATAAGAAAAGTTTAACTATAAAGAGGTTGTGAATGTGGTCCCTGTTGTTGGATTATGCAATTTTGACGTTTATCTATTTGATTAGTTGTGCATGATTTATTTGTACGCAAAACTCATAAACCTATTTAGTTCAAGCCAGACTCCAGGTTAATAAAGTCTGTTACTCAGTAATTCGTTCTCCTTAACTCTATCCTTACAATGTGAGCGGATAATCTTGAGGACAGACGAATGAGCAGCAGCCGTACTAGGGTAGGGCAAAATCGTAGAAATATCGCAGACTTTAGAAGATTCTGAAATGCATAAGGGAAACTTTGAGGGCTAGATTTTTTCTTTAATAACTTATTGCAATTTCTCCTTAAATTTTTACGCGATTACATTTTTTTTTAATCCTGCGCGAAACAGTTCCTCAACCTGCAAAAACAGCTATTGACCTCCTGTCAAATGAGCTGCCCACTTCTGCACAATCACGCCATAGGAATCATCGGTGTGGTCTGGGCCACCTTCGTGTCGAGAATCTGGCGAATGGTGCCGGGGCGCGTTCCTACTATCTGGGCGGTCCTCTAGCTTGGCTCGAGGCTGGCCTCGTCCGTCTGGCAATTGATCGACTTTTGGCTTCTGGTTTCCGGCTTGTTGGGGTTCCTGACCTAGTGCCTGCAGGCGTCATAGATGCAACCGGCTTCCAAACAACCGGTGAAAGGAATCAAGTATGCACATGATCATGCTCTCAATATTTTGTCGTTGCGACATGCTTCTCGTTCTGTTTTACCTCTAACTGATCCGATCCATTCGTTTTTATAAATTTACATAGATAATTTATGAAGGGATTAGTTTTGATTGATGATCTTTTATTCGTTGAAAAAGAAACAAATGGGTGATATTGTTTATAAAAAAAGCATAGATTGCGAAATTCATAGTCTGGCCTCACAGGAAACAGGGGGATTGTTTTGTGGTTCTTACAGTTAATTTGTGCGAATAAGTTTTCAGGCTACCGTCCTGCGATACCGAC